GATGATAACAAAAATAACACAAAATTTGTGAGACACTGCTAAGCTAAAGCTTTACTTAGAAATTTGTAACCTTAAATCAATATATTTAAAAAGAAGAATGACTATATATTTGATCATCTCCATAGCCATCTTAAATTTTTTTCAAGTTAAGTAATTCAAAAGCAAGTTAAAGAAAATGATAAAGATATAAAGATATAAAAAGTTATTAATGGAATATAGCTAAAAGGTACAACAGAGAAAAATTAAAACCCAATATTTGGTTCCCTAATAAGCATAACGAACACCTATTGCAAGACAGATGAGAGTGAATGGGGTGACAGAGGGGAGGAAACCTAGCAAATTATCAGTATCAGGAAGGAAAAAAGGAACGATGTTACAGGTCTCACAGAAAACAAACACACAAAATTTAGGAATGAAATAATTCTCTGTGTTCAGCTTCTGTGTGATATTGGTCTTGTACCGCACTGGCATCTGTTAACAAGGCAACCCCACTCTCACCTGCTTTGCCAGGAGAGTAAGGAAGGCAGCGAGATCTCCACCATTGCCATTGGTCTTCAGGCTTGTTAACTTCTCAGCTAAAGTGCAAAGACAATAAGATGGGAAAGATAGTTGGTCTTGTATCAGACTTGGAAAGGAGAAAAGGAATATGTCCTCTAGGCTACAAGAGAGCCTCCCAACTATCAAAGTGGGTGATACATTCAATATGAGAACAGTGGAGACCAGTGGATTGCTTTTCTAGACTTACGCAGGATAAAACTGATTGAAACAGAGCTAGGGCCAAGAAAATGTCGGAGTGTTTTATAGAACAAAGAAAAATTGAATATTAGATATAAATTATAAGTAAATCAAACACACAGTTTATTTCCTAGAATGTTTTGCTATAGCTGTATCTTTCTGAATATCACATGTGAAATCACGAATTCTCAAAATGAGAATTATTCTCTGGAATAATGGCATTTAGTCACCCCCTTAGTATATTTCTCTCTCTCTCTCTCTCTCTCTCTCTCTCTCTCTCTCTGTGTGTGTGTGTGTGTGTGTGTGTGTGTGTGTGTGTGTGTTTGCACACTTGTGAGTGTAATTGTGTCCTGAAAGGATAGGGGTGGGTGATCATTACAAGGGAGCATTTCTCTTTGCAAGGTAAGTGAGAAAGCCTCAGGAACCATTCTATAAATGAATTTATCAGCATTTCTCAAACCCGAGGACCCTGGCCCTCATCTATCGTACCTATCCAGGCCTCTACCACATCAGCCTTCCAGTTGAACTGCTGAAAGGCATAATCATCTTCCAACTGCAACTTCCAAGCAGCTATTGCCTTGGCCAGAGCTGGAGTCTTTTCATTCAGAGCCTCTATCTTGGCAGAAATCTTCTCCTTGTGCTGACTTTCCTCCTGTAACACCAAAGTTGAAAGAAGGAGAAAGGCCAAAGCCAGAAATGTGAATTCCTTAGTACTACTAAAAAGCTCTCATCTTTCTCATTCCAAATTGTAACTATTCTCCTCTAGGTCTAGCGAATTAATTCTGTTTTTCTTCTATGTTTCAGATGGTTATTTGGGTGATCTTTTCATGACTGTCCATATAAGTGTGATCTTCTTAGTCAGTGTAAGCATCTAGAAGGTGTAAAGTCATCTCTGTTTTGGGTTCTCTATGTAGTACTTAGATAAGTGAGACTTTGTAAAAACAAGCATCTAAACAGCAGAATGATTCTCAAATTACAAAAAGGTTTCCATGTGGTCTTCCTCCTTAGAGGCTTACAAAGAAATTGTTTTACATTTTTACAATACTCTATGACCAAAGCAAGTCACTTATAAGAGTTTCGTAAGTGCCATATTTTGCATAGGATAAGAGTAAGTGTGTCAATAAAGGATTCAAAGAAATCTTCAAGGTATACTAGTAAGAACTTGAAAAAAGGATTTCCAGGAAAAACCAATTAAATAGATAATTATTTGCTTAGAACAACAATAATAACAAAAAGGCAGCTTAGAAGAGATTATGAAATGTATGATTTAGCACTGCTCATGAGTCTATATTTGGGCCAATTCCTCTTGAAAATGAAAGTTTGACCTGGAATTCCTGGAGTCCCTCACCTTACTCAGGATGTCTTCTCCTTGAGCACACACGTTTTGCACTCGGGCCGTATGGACAGCAAAGTCATTATCCAAAGCTTCATACTTCTTTAGCAAGCTCTGCATAAATGAGTCAGTGAGAAACAAAGCATCAAGACAATTTATCCCACCCACATTCTGATTCCATTTGATGCCATTCATCACTGATGATGATTCAACTAAACTGGCAGAACAGATGAGTATCCACTTCTCCCTGCGCGGCTCTACTAAATTCCTCTCCCCAAACTCTTCACTTGCCAAAAAGGGCAAATTTACCAGAAAAAGAATCAAAGGAATATAAGTCACATTGTTCTAACTTACCATGTGACCTTAAGTTTTTCTGGATTTTGGAATGAGAATGTTGATAAAGGTAAGACATAGGACTTCCCCATATTAAAATTTATATAATTCTACAAAACACTGCGTCTACCAGAAAAATATTAAGTATCAAGAACATCCTATACTGGATCAAATATATGATGATGGAAGGAGAACTGACTCTGGGTGGTGAACACACAATGTGATATATAGATGAGGTATTATACAATTGTACACCTTAAACCTATGTAACTTTACTAAGCATTGTTACCCCAATAAACTTTAATTTTAAAAAAAATCCTATACAAAGAGCTGACTTTAAAGCCTTCTTTTCCCACCAGGAGAAAGATTCTAATTTTAAAGATGAAAACATTGACAACATAAGAAGAGGTTCATATTAAAGAGAAGAAAATCAATTAAACCAGTCAACCTATTCTCACCTGAGTAGCAGCCAATGTGTCTCCTGAATTTCTGAGGGCAACCATTGCTTCCTTTTCACTGATCCAAGTTTCTTCCTCCTCAGCATTCTCCATGAATTGCAAATATTCTAGGGACTCTTCCAACCGAAGCCCTCTATTACAGGGCAGTAAGCCCAATAAGGACAAGAGGAAACTAGTAAGCAGTGAAAGTGGGGCCGAGTGGCCCAATCTCATGAGGCAGCCACAGTTGAACTGGGCCGCAGAACAACCAAATATATGCCTACTGGTCAGCTGTGGTGATCTCCTCTGAAAAGGGGGAGACCTTTGTCCCAGAAGTACAATTTTGTGGCATTATCTTTTCTCTAGGAATCTTTGTTGGGGGAAAAAAAACTTTGTCCAAATAAAAGTGCCAATTAGAGTTGGAGAATAACAGCAATGAAGCAGAGTCTCTTTCTACTCTTAACACAATGGAGGCACTACAAAGTACTTTTATTCCCCAGGAAGGAAAGTATTCCTATTGCCAAAAGACATGGCGTTATAGGCAGAGAATATTTTACTTGGCTATATGTAGCTATAGGGCTCTAAGGGAGAACATTTTTTTTTAATGTTTTCACCACTGTGTGTTGCACCCAATGGTAAACTGGGGAGATATACAAATAGACACCTGGCAAATAACCTGGTATGAGAGATAACATATGTAGGGCAACAATGATAAAAGACAGCTGCAAGCAAGTACAGGAGTAGAGGTATATTTATAACACAGAGGCAGTCATCGCTTCTGTCTGGGGTAAATGGGAGAAAGCTTCATGGAATACTTTGCATTTGAGCAGGGACTTAGAAGATAGATAGAGATGGGTAGGTGGGGAGAAATGCTGAGCAAGCCCTTAAGTATTCCACACCCCCCGCCCTCCAACACCAGCCCAATGCCTGTAACGCAGAAAGAGCATTGGGTCTCCTCTCCCCAACTCACCGAGCCTTGGCCAACTCTTGGAGCTTCTCCCAGTGTTGAACAAACTGAGCCAGCCGTTCCTGGATCTCCTCTCTGCCCACAGCAGCCTTGTCGCCCAGCCTCTCTGCCATATCCAGCACATTCTGAAGAACACACCCACTCCATGTTGCATTACCCTACAATCTTTCCCAGTTTAGACCTACTCCCCAGACCAAATATCTAGCCCTTCCTACCCTCGAGATCATTTATAAACTCTATGCTACTTAGGATGGTGCTGAAAATCCTGGGAGAATGTAGAAAGCTGCAGTGAGATCTACCATACTAAAATCACCCAAGTTTTTGGACAAATACCTTGGCATTTGTACAAGGCCACTCTCCGTGATCTACTTTGTGGATAATTCATGATCATAGGGTGACCCTGCTGTCAAGCCAGACCCAGAGTTGCTTTCTTTTCATGTGGCTTGGCTCAAGTACAACTTTTCTGGATGTCCCAACCTGCATCTTAATTGTCAACAACTGTGCCCTAGAGTGTTAAAAGTGCCCTTTCCAGGGAAGAGCATGGGTCTTGTACAGAATGCTTCTATTTATAGGGTACAAAATGTGGAAAAGAACACTAACGAACTCTGTGACTAACTCTACGTTAGTCTTAGTATATGCCACCTTCACCTTTAGTAGTATCATCCTATTTATCTGTAACACGAGGGGCTACTATTAGATTATCTCTGCCTTTCCAGGTCTTATACTCTACTATTCCTACCTGGATGGCAGGTTCATGTGCCATCAGCTCCCCCTCTAGGCGTTTGTGTTTCTTCAGTAAGTTTTGAACCCCTTGCAGATCCCTCCCATAGTCCTGGGAGCTCACTCGTACCAACTTCTCCCTGCAACCAAGGAAGAAAACAGAAAATTTCGAGTTTAGATGTTTGAAGTCATCCTAGAACAACAGCTTTCTAAGAGTGTGTGTGGCTGGGGGTGAGGTAGCTTTCTGGTGTCAATGTCACAAAGATAATTAGTGCCAAAAGCTTTCAGCAAAGCTTCCAACTTATGCTAATACAATTAAAATAACATACTGATATGCACAGCTGTAACAGCCTTCCGTTACTTCCTTTGCCTGTCTACTTGTGTATCTTCTCTTCTTTACTCAAGAACATATACTAACATTTCTATTTCAAAAAGGTAAAAATTATACACACACACATATGTACACATATACATGTATGACCTTCATGACCTTCATTATTTTTGTCTCTTAGCATCAGTAATGAATTTAGGTAGAATGGGTTATAAAGAGCTGATCTATAGAAGTCATGGCAGTTGAACTGCTTCTGAGAGTAAAATGTTTGAACATCAGCATGAAGCACAGTAAAAGACTACATAGACAAGATTATGTTATCTTACTGTTTCTAAAAAGTTTCTGAAATGTCCTACTTGTCCTGTGCACAATGCTTTTTTCTAATTCTTTGATTGCTCATAAGAATCAGCAGGCTTTGTTCCTTTGCTGTTTTCAGCTTTAAAAAACAAGACAAACAAATAAACAAAAACTCATAGACACATAAAATAGTTTAGTGGTTACCAGAGGGTAAGGGGGGAGCGGGTTGTAGATGATGATGGTGATGGAAGGAGAACTGACTCTGGTTGTTGAACACACAATGTGATATATAGATGATGTATTGCAGAATTGTACACTTGAAACCTATGTAATTTTACTAACCATTGTCACCCCACTACATTTTAATTTAAAAAACATTAATAAAACAAAATAATCAGCAGGTATGTTGAAGAGAAACATGATGAGACAGGTTAAATAGTAAATAAAGCAAATAATTTGATTTGCTAATATGTTCCCAATCATATTTTTTACAACAAAGGTAGAATTAGTATAAAACCATGGCAGGTAATGTGTAACGTTCTCTATCCAGAATCCAGTTCTGTCACATATTAGATACACGAGATACAGAAAGAAAAAGGACAATGATCTCATCAGTTCAGTAAGTTGCAAATGCCCAGCTATCTGATTCGAAATGAGCAGTACACATTCTATGAACTCTCTAGAACAAACATACATGTTTTCTTAATTTTGTCCCCAGAATGTATGTGAACTGCTCCCCACTCCCTCCATTTTTGTCTGCCAAACAGTGAAGGAATTTGGGGGAAATAAAACCAATGTTAACTTTAGGGTAAGGCAAACATGATTAAGCAGTATTACCAACAGCAAGAAACATTACGTATTTCATTTCAGCATCAAATAGAAACATGTTTGGAGGATTATCTGCTCTCTTGGATTATCAATGCAATACGATTTGGCAGTACATACTCTATCCATGATTCCTCATCATCTAGTTCCTGGAAGAACTGGAACAAGGCATAGGCTTCTTTCAGTTTCTCATGGTGTGCCGCTGCTAAGTTCTGGACATCCAAGAAGCGCTTGTTGACATTATCTCTTTTCTCCACAATCTGATCAGTATTGAAAGTCCCACTGGAGAGCAGATCAGTAGCCAACTCATTCAGGTCCCTGAGTGCATCCTAGGAAGCCCCAGTAAACTCAGTGAACAATATAGTACAGGCATTAAGTAGACTCACAAATTTAACCACTGCTGGTTCAGGTTCAAAGACTGTGTCAAAGAGATTGTTTTTAAAGATAGTCAATTTGATTTTTTTTTGTTGACCCAGATTGGATGAGGGCAATATGGATAACATGACTATACTACTCTAATTGCACATTTGGCCTTATGTGTCCTGTTTTTCCTTCTGATGTTTTCCCCTTTATTTGCTTCCTCTCCCCAAATGGAAAATAAAACCTTGGTGAGCAAGCACTCTGTCTGATGCAGACTGATTTATTGAAATAATCAATAAGAACTACTCTTAGGTTGGCCACAGAACCCATGCAGCCTCTTCTCTATTTTTATTCAAACTCTGCCCTCTAGTGATGTCACAGGGAATATCATCAAATCCTGAAATAATCAAACTTAGAAAGCCTTTGGCTTCTTATCCTTTCTGTAGGTATCTCTATCACCAAATAAAAATGATAGTGTAAAATTCTCCTGTATAAAATTAACACCTGTCAGCATGTTCCTAGTACAAATCTCTGCTTGATATTAGGATGCTACTGGAATGCATTATTGCATTTCCAGAGTCTATATGTAGTTCAACTTCATTGCATATGCTCCTATCTATTTTATTGTTTTTCTCTCTAAATCTATGAAATAATTTGCATTGTCTTTCTAGGACCAGATCAAATGTGCAGCTTTGGATGATAGTGAGTTTATATGCATGCATTCATTAAAAAAATAAATAAGATCACTTTTAGGATCCACATCTTGGAGTCTTAGAATCTACAGCTTAATGATCATTCATTAAAAGTGACTATCGCAATCTCTCTGCAGCCCATGGATTTGACCTGGTTATAATGACTGCTGGTTGTGAACAGTAAGGTGAATCTTGCAAGGCTGTGTTCCCAAATAATCTCCTAAGACAGGAGAGGGGAAAATCAGAAACCTTTCCATTTTTTGAATGGAAATCCCAGAGGAGTGGGATTCCAGAAATACTTACTTCTCGAGCCAACATCTCTGTTTCCAATAGCTGATGCTTTTTGAGCAGGTTTCCTGCAGAAGCCAAGTCCCTGGCCTGATCTTTCATGGCCAGTAGTGTCTCTGCCTGGGAATGGAAGAATAAGCAGTAAAGCTGCCAGATGAAAACTATCTTTAAGGAGAACAAGATTATCAACTATGTCCCCAAACGTTTCTGAAGAAGAGTCAGGAGATCATTCATGCATAAATTTGATTATATGACAAGCATTTATTAAACTCCCATGCCCCCACCGTTTCCAGGTGCAATTACCTCTGAGAGCCAGAACTCAAAATCCCGGATGCCTGTATTGAACCTTTGTTGGCGACTAGCCTCATTGAGCTTTTGCCCTTTGTCAACTGTTCTCTCAAGCAGGTAGTCCCAATGTTTCTCCAGCTCTTCCAGTTGACCCTAACCCAAAGAAATTGAAGAATCATTATGGTCTTTAGAATCCTGGGTCTTCTAACAACTTGAAAGGATACTATAGGGAGGCCAAGGAGGTAGGAACTAATCAAAATTATCCAGTATTTAAATGTCATACATTTTAAACAAGTTAATTTCAGAATACAACAGGAGGTATTAGTAGAAAGTTTGAGAAAGAGTACTGGACTGATTACAGAGGTTGATGTCTAAATGCCAAAAGACTTGGTAGTAGGGATAGAAAATGCAAAACACACAGGATAATGTTTAGGAATTAAGTTGAAAGTTTTCCTGGAATTCTAGGTACTAAGTGTGGTGGTAGCCAATAGATCTCAGCATCATTGTTAACCAGAGAACATATTCCATATTCCTATACATGAAAACATTGAAATAGTAAGATTTCTTTTCATGTATCTTTGTGCCCAGAACCCACGGTGAGCAAAACCCCTACCTTCATGGTCTCTTCCTTGCCATCACATGCCCTCCGCTCAATCAGAGAGTTCCCCAATCTGATGACTCCTTCTACCTGATCAGCTCTGCCATAGACCTCATTTTCAAAGGTCTGGTGCTTCAGGTATTTCCTCTAAAGGAAGAGAAAAAACTAAGTTACCTTGTTATTTAGGGAAGCAAGAAAACATAACTTGTGTTTAAAAGTAAGAGTTAATATTTCTGTCATAACCAAAGTGATGTTGACTTCTGAAGGGCCTGTGCACGTTAGACTGAGAAGTCCCTGAGGATAGCATCAGTGGTCTCAACAATAAGGAAGTGTTCAGTATAGAAAAATGGACATTCATGCAACAACTTGGGTATGCTAAAGTTTTCCAAGATTCCTATTTTGCGCTTACCTGAATGTTGGTGGGGTCTTTGTAGGACTCATCACAGGCTGTGGGCAGCATCTCATTGATCCATTCTTCTAGGTCCTCAAAGTCACGGCAGAATTGTTTTAGGTCAGCATAATCTCCCAGTTTTGTCCGCTCAGCAATCAGCTGTGCTTTGAGAGCCTTCCATCTGGAGAAGGTGGCTAGATCAGTCTGTGTCCTTTTTCCTTCCCCTAAGCTCTAATGGCATATTCATGAATTTTCCCATTTGTCAACCTCTCATTTATACATTTATGTGTTATATATAACATAGTAATATATTATTTAGTTATAGACTATATTATTATATTATATATTATTTATATGTTGTATAAAACATAGTCTCATTATTTTTAGATATATTTGTTAAGTCAGGTAATTTCTAAGGTAACTTCCATGTCTTTCATTCTGTGAGTCCAGATCACAAAGTTTCCCAAAGTGTCAAGATAGTATTAGGCATCTAGAAGTAAGAAGAACTGAGTGTTACCCCCATGCTCAATGCTAACAGAGAGGTCACTTTGCTACCTCTTCCTGTAGCTCATAAAACAATTGCTCAGGCCTGACCTGTCCAGCACCCGTTGGAGCTGAGCAGCAATCTCTTCCTTGGCGTAGTGGTCATCAGCTATAAGCCGCTCAGCAAAATGTTCTAGCTCAGTGATCTTGTTTTCCTAGATAAAACAGAATGGAAAGAACCCAAATGTCTGGAGATTAGACCCTGGTGCAATTCCAGACTCTCTCCTAGAAAAGAGCAGACATTAACCTTTGTCATTTCACAAAGGGAAACAAAATCAGTACTAAAGGGTAAATTCCTTAGAGAGGTGGATATTAACTCAACAATAGGCAAACTATTAATAATGATACTGAGATGGGTTATTTGTGTGGTACTGAATTCACTTATTTGACACTTCCCATGGCCATTGTAGGACAGGGTGATTCCTGCATTGGGTGAGATGTTGGAATAGACAGTATATTAAGTCACTTCCAATTCTAAAAGTCAGGTTTTAAAATGCTGGACTTAAACTAAGAAAGTCCAACGCCACATGTGACTTGGGTTAGGCTAAGCCAAAGTGTCATGTTGCCCTGCCTAGCTCAGAGTTTCCTGCAAGAAGCAAATTGGAATTAAAATATTTTAAAATCATAAAACCACATACCTATGTAAGATTTCTGTTATTATTACTAGTAGTTATTTTATAACTCATATTAGTTGTTATTACCTGGGCAGTGATTGCTTTGTCCATATCATCACGTTTCTTCATCAAGGCCTCCAGACTATCTAAGGAACCCTTATCATCTGACCTCAGGAAACTCTCACGTGCCATCATCCAGCTCTCAGCCTGATCACAGTTCCCTTGGAACAACTATGAGGAATAAAGTTAGAGATATATGGTATAGGAGTCCCCACTTATTTGAAGTTTTGCTTTCTGCAGTTTCAGTTACCCTTGGTCAACCACTGTCAGAAAATATTACATGGGAAATCCAGGAATATACAATTCATAAGGTTTAAATATGTGCTGTTCTGATTGGCATGAGGAAATCTCATGCCATCTTGTTATGTCATGCCTGGGAAATGAGTCATCCCTTTGTCCAGAGTATTCATGCTATTATACACTCCCCAACTGTTAGGCACTTAGCTCTACTGGTTATTAGACCGACTGTCCCTGTATTGAAGTTCTTGTGTCCACATAACCCTTATTTTACTTAATAAGACACCCAAAGGAGGCTTTCAGTCAAGATGGCAGGGAAGGTAAATTCTGTGCTTACCTCCCCCCATGACTACCTCAAAATTATAACTAAACTACAGAACAGCAATCCTTGAGAATTTCCTTCAGTCTAGGTAAACAGAAGTCCTATAACTAAGGATACAAAGATGAACTCATGTGGAGACTAGTAGGAGGGGGAGAAGACAGGGAACAGGCTGGTCACACACCCATGTGTGGCAGTTAAAAGTTGGGAGGGATATCTTAGCTGTGGAGGTACCCCCTGAGGGGTGAAGAGTTCCAGTCCCACACAAGGCTCCCAAGCCCAGGGTAGAAGTGCTGGGGAAAGAAGGCCTCATAACTCCTGGATATGAGAACAGTAGAAGTTGTGGCTGAGTAGGAAGAAAGGCTGCTGGATTCCCAGATGTTCCTCTTAAAGGGCCCATGCATGGACTTGATCGCTGATGGACTTACTTGCTCTGAGCTCCAGTGCTGGGGCAGCAGCTCAAAGGGCATTGGGGACATACAGGGAGGAGCTGGATTGTCTTGCTTTAGGGTAAAGGCTGGAGGGGAAGCTTCCTCCCAGACAGAAGTGTGACAGAAGACATTGTTCCTTTGTTGAGCCCTCACCCAATCAGCCTACAACAGGCAGGTGGGCATGATATCTGAGTTTCCATTAACCTAACTAATATTATTTGCCCACCCTGGTTGTTCCCTGAGACCCCACCTCACCTGACTTGCAGGCCCACCCAAGGCACTTCCAGTGGCTTTTTCATACAAATAGCCTGTGTTGGCTCATGCTGTGAATTTTTCTAAAATCTCTCAAAGGTTCACAAACCCCAAACAAACAACATCTGGCCTTGGTATGCCCTGTACCTCTTGCTAAGCAGCCTCAAGCCTGGAATTAGCAACAGCTGGCCTCAGTTCACAGCTTAGCACCTCTGAGGCACCTCCAAGCCCAGCGCAAGTGGTAACCATCTGAATATCACTTTGTACCTCATACCAAGTGCCCGTGGGCAGGGCACAGGCAGTGGCTGAACTTGTCTGCATCAGAGCCCCTTCCAAGAGCCACCAGAACCACCTGGTGACCAGCTTCAGACCACACCAGTGCACTATGCAACCATCTCCACAAATGACACACTCAGAGTGCAGACTCAGCAGTAATCAGAGCCTGGCTAAAGCAAATCCTGCTGTGTGGGGTCAGCCCCTGCACAACAGCTCCTCCACTGTAATCATGGCATTCCTCACAACCAATCAGCCTGAGGATCAGTCCCTCCCACTGACATGCCAACAGTATTCAAGGGTCAAACACATAGGAGGGTACACACAACTCACACAGAGACACATCACCCACCTCAGGTGACACCTGGCCCCACAGGACACTTACTACATAAGGCCACTCTACCAAGATTTGGAGACATAGTGCTCTACCTAATACATAGAAACAAAACAGGAGAAAGAAAAACATGTCCCAAATGAAAGATCAGAACAAAGCTCCAGAAAAAGAAATAAACAAAACAGAGACAAATAAAGCAAAACAGAGACAAACCAGATGTAGATGTCAAAACACTGGATATAGGGATGCTCAATGATCTCAGTGAGAACTTCAACAAAAAGATAGGAAACATAACCATGGAGGTAGGAACCATTAAAATAACCAGTTAGAAATGAAGAATACAATAACTGAAATAAAGAACATATTAGAGGGAATCAACAGTAGATTAGATGAAGCAGAGGACTGAATCAGTGTTTTGGAAGACTAAGTAGCAAAAAACACCTAATCAGGACAGGAAAAAGAAAAAGAATCCAAAAAACTAAGGATAGTTTAAGGATCCTTTGGGACAATGTGAAGTGCACCAACATTTGAATCATAGGAATACCAGAAAGAGAAAAGAGAGAGCAAGAAATTAAAAACCTATTTGAAGAAATAATGACTGAAAACTTCCTTAGCTTGGTGAAGGAAATAGACATACCAGCCAGGAAGCACAGGAGTCCCAAACAAGATGAGCCCAAAGAGGCTCACACCAAGACACATCAAAATTGAATTACCAAAGGCATTTGTCAAAACATATTCAAAGCAATGAACAGCAAGAACCTACAACCAAGATTACTCTACCCAGCAAACTATCATTTAGAATTGACATACAGATAAAAAGCTTCCCAGACAAGAAAAAGTTAAAGGAGTTCATCACCACCAAAGCAGTATTATAAGAAATGTTAGAACCAAGATGGCACAGTAGGCAAACGCTGTGTTTACCTTCGCTTACAACCGCATCAAAATTACAACTAATCTACACAACAACCATTATTGAGAATTGCATAAAATCAAGCTGAACTGAAGCCTTTCAATTAAGGATACGCAGAAGAAGCTACCTCCAGACTGGTAGGAAGGTCAGAGACGTGGCATGGGCTGGCCCCAAAGCCATTCACATAACTTTTATTACAGTATATTGTTATAATTGTTCTATTTTATTTTTAATTATTGTTAATCTCTTACTGTACCTAATTTATATATTTTAAATAGGTATATGTGTATAGGAATAAACATAGTATGTATAGCGTTTGGTACTATCTGTGTTTTTAGGCATTCACTGGTGCTTTTGAAATATATCTCTCACAAACAAGTGGGGGACTACTCTACTGGACTTTTACACTTCCCAGAAAACACATTTTATGTTTTTATATAAACATAAACTACCCTTGGCTGCTATTTGCCATATCCTATACCTGGTAGATACTGGCTGGTTATTTGTTTAGGACTGGTAAACACTATCCTTCAGGGTAGCCTGTGACACTCTCTCTTTCTCTCAAAAGTGTTAATCACTTCCCCTTCTTTAGCCTCAAAACATTCATACATTATGTTTCATTAATAATCACCTTACTATACTAGAATTATCTGTCTACATGTCAAATTTCAATACTTAAGAAAAGGGACACTATCTTACTAATCTTTGGGTTCCCAGGGCCCTGCACACAGTAGGTTCTCAATGAAAATCTATCAATCAAAACCTCAATCAATCAATAAATTATAATCACCCTACTTCATGCTCAGGAGTGACCTCCATTTTGTTTGGCTCTTTTGACAGGGATAAGGACAAAGAAAACCCCCAAGATCAGTCTACAAAGCAGAGAATACAATGTCAGATAATCAAGAGATGCCTTTGTGCTTACAGCATGGGAAGTCCAGTGAAATGAACAGCTGTACGAATCATGTAAAATTGCATAGAAGGAACAGACTTGGGCTAATTCTGCTCAATGATTGGGGATTTGCTGTACCTGCAAGTCCAGACATTGATCTAGCATCTTCTTGCGTTGTTCCCAAGCTTTCTCCAAATCATTTCTCTCTAGCCTGACAGCTTGAAGCTTTTTTTCAATTTCAGAGCTGGCAGAGTGCCCACTGTCTATAAGTTCTGCACCAAAGTCTTCTAAGGCCTGGAAGGTAGGAGCCTCAGCCTGCATGTCGGCATGATGTTCCTGTGGGGTAAAGCGGGAAGAGACAAGTGAGGCCAATGTTGTAACATTGTTACAACCACAGTTGTAACATGAGGGAAGGTTGTGAAGTCATGTGACCAGTGGCTATGGCTTTTGTAGCCATACCTGGTGTCGCTCTATCAAGATCTCTGTACCAGTTAAGTCCTCAGCCAGCTCCTGTGATGATACCATGCCACCAATGCCACTGATCCAATTCTGTAGGTCCCTAGAAAAACAGAAATATTGGGATTGATAAGAAAACCTTACAACTTCGCTACAGGGCTGTCTGTCCTTGGACACTTTCCTCTCTAGACAACGTTTCCAGATTAATACCTTCTATCTGGCTTTATATGCTTCACAGATCTTAGGTTTGTTGTTTTCACTTGTGACTTAATAATAGTAATCCACTGCCTTTGAAAATTCCTTCACATATATTATCTCTTTCAATTCTTGCAATAATCCTGTATAGAATTATTTTTAAAATTTATTTTTAAAATTAATTTGTATTAAGTGTCGCCTTGCAGCTGCCGACTCGAATGCTCCTGCGCACTGATCCTTTGAAGTCATAAGGAAGCGTCTTGGAATGCGGAGACCCGAGGGAATGATCTTGGTAAAACTTCCTTATCAGGTGGTCTCGGAATGCTGAGGCCATCCTGGGGATCATGCGCATGTGTGAAAGCACAACTCGTGCTTAATCACAATGAGTTTTGGTGAAGCAGCTGCCAGTCTAATTGAATCAATTAACTGGGTATTGATATTCAAATTGACCTCTTTGTGACTGTTGTAAATAAAAGCTTTACGCCCACCAGCATCAGAGCTCACTCTCTCGGTCTGAAGAGACGAGACCCCTGGCCCGCAGAAACTCTACTTTTGACTCTTGTGATTTCTTAACCCTTTGCCAACTCTCCTCGAGCCCCCCAGTCCTTGTCACGCGGGACGTGATAATTAAGTGTACTGGGATGACACTGGTTAGTAAAATTATATAGGTTTCAAGTGTACAATTTTATAATACTTCATCTATCTATTGCACTGTGTGTTCACCACCCAGAGTCAATTCTCCTTCCATCACCATATATTTGATCCCTTTACCTTCGTCTACCACACCTTTTCCCCCTTACCCTCTGGTAACCACTAAACTGTTCTGTGTCTATGATTTGTTTGTCTTGTTCATGTGTTGCTTCCAGTTCTTTTTTAATTTTATTTTTTACATTAGTTTCAGGTGTACAAAACAACATAATGATTGAACATTTACACTCCTCAAAAAGTGATTACAACCCCCCCCCCAAGTCTACTACTCCTCTGACCTTATATAGCTATTACAATACCATTGACTGTACTTTACATATGCCCAGACCCTAAGCCGGACAGACTCACTTTTAAAAATCATACTTCAGCTATTCCAGCTAGACTCTAAGCAGAACTTCCCGGGAAGACAGTAAACGCCTAGCTTTACAAGAAATGGATTGCAACAGAAATACTAATGCTTTGCAGAAGTAGTCTTATCACAACTAGATTGGACCATTTCACAAAAACTAACAGCTCTTTTTGCTTCTGTACACCTGCTTTGCTTCTGCTGGGGAATAAAAGGTTAAAGAACAACATTCCTCACGCCTTGCAGTTCCCCCTTCCTCTCTCTTTCTCAGGCCTTGCAGTTGCCCCTTCCTCTCCCTGCCTTCATGTTAACGTTTCAGGAGGCCTTGAAGCAAACTAACTTTATCAACCCGGTCACGATGTACTGTTAAGACACATGGACATAACACTGTTGCAACAGTGGGATGCAGTTTTAACTAAAATAACTACACATTCTTTTTGGCTTCTGTAATTTACTTTATGTTTAACCCCCACCTTATAAAAACCCTACCCACTGAGACCTCGGGACCGTTTTCTCCTTAGTTGGAGGGGCGGTTGCTGAGCTCAGCTTAATAAAATCTTCGGAACTTTAAACTTTAATTTGACATCCAGCCTCTTTATTGATTATCTGGACCCAACACATACTGTGACTTTATATGAGGTCTGACAATTAAGTTCAGAAAAAGTGCTACATACCTCATTGCTGAATATCACTATGGCTACCTTCAAAGTACTCCCTTTGGGAAGCTATGCACAAACACCAGTGCCTAGTCCACCCTTCAAAGCAATTTTGGAACTCTTTTTCTGGAATGGCCATCAGAGCTGTCCTTGTATTACCCTTGATGTCCTGAATGTCATCAAAATGTCTTCCTTTCAATATTCCCTTTATCTTCAGGTAAAGAAAGAAGTCATTGGGGGGCAGGTCAGGTGATTAAGGAGGGTGTTCCAATAGTTATTTGTTTACTGGCTAAAAACTCCCTCACAGACAGTGCTGTGTGAGCTGGTGCATTGTCATGATGCAAGAGCCATGAATTGTTGGCAAAAAGTTTAGGTCGTTTAACTTTTTCATGCAGCTTTTTCAGCACTTCCAAATAGTAAACTTGGCTAACTGCTTGTCCAGTTGGTACAAATTCATAATGAATAATCCCTCTGATATCAAAAAAGATTAACAACATCATTGCAACAAGTTCTTGAACTTAATTGTCAGACCTCATATATATTTAATTATAGTTGAATTCAATATTATTTTACTTCAGCTTCAGGTGTATAGAGGAGTGGTTAGGCATCTACACAATCAATGATGTGTTCCCCTTGATAAGTCCAATACACACCTGGCACCCTACATAATATTTACACCATTATTGATTATATTCCCCATACTGCATTCTACATCCCCATGACTATTTTGTGACTACAATTTTGTACTACTTTATCCCTTCACTTTCTCCCCCATCCCTCAACCCTCCTCCCATCTAGCAGCCCTTAGATTTTTTTCTGTATCTCTGAGTCTATTCCTGTTTTGTTAGCTCGTTTATTCTGTTTCTTAGATTCCACATACAAGTGAGATAATATTGTATTTGTCTTTCTCAGTCTGGCTTATTTTATTTAGCATAATATTCTCTAGGTCCATCTATGTTGTTGCAAATGGTAATATTTAATTCTTTTTAATGGCAGACTAATACTCCATTGTATAAATGTACCACAATTTTTTTATCCAACTGTCTATTGATGGGCGTTTCTGTTGTTTCCACATCTTGGCTATTGTGAATAGCCCTGCAGTAAACATAGGTGTGCATATAGTTTTTCAAATTAGTGTTTTGGATTTCTTTGGATAAATACCCAAATTGCTGGGTCACAAGGTATTTCTATTTTTAATTTTTTGAGGAACATTTATATTGTTTTCCTTAGTGGTTGCACCAATCCCACCAACAATGCATGAGGGTTCCCTTTTTTCTACATCCTTGCCCACATTTGCTGTTTGTTGATTTATTGATAATAGCCATTTTGAAAGGAGTGAGGTGATAGCTCATTGTGGTTTTTATTTGCATTTCTCTAATGATTGGTGGCATTCAACACCTTTTCATATGTCTATTGGCCATCTGTATGTCCTCTTTAGAGAAATGTCTCTTCAAGTCCTCTGCCCATTTTTTAATTGTTTGGTTTTTTTAAAATAAATTTTGGATATTAACCTTTTATCAGATATATCATTGGCAAATATTTTCTCTCATGAAGTAGGATGTCTTTTTGTTTTGTTGATGGTTTTTTTTTTGCTGTGAAAAAAACTTTTTAGTTTAATGTAGTCCCATATGTTTATTTTTTCTTTTGCTTCACTTACCTGAGGAGATATACCAGTAAAAATATTTCTAAGGGTAATGTCTGAGAGTTTGCTTTCTATATTTTGTTCTAGGAGTTTTATGGTTTCGGATCTTACATTTAAGTCTTTAATCCATTTTGAGTTTCTTCTTGTATATGGCATAAGGAGGTGGTCTAGCTTCATTGTTTTTTGCATGTATCTGTACAGTTTTCCCAGCACCATTTATTGAATAGACTCTTTTTACCCCAATGTAAATTCTTGCTTATTTTGTCATAGATTAAATTACCATATAGGCATGGATTTATTTCTGGACTCTCTATTCTGTTCCATTGATCTATGTGTCTGTTTCTATGACAATACCACGCTGTTTTGATTCTATACCCTTGTAGTATGATTTGATGTCAGGTAGTGTGATACCTCCCACTTTGTTCTTATTTCTCAGGATTGCCATGGCTATTTTGGGTCTTTTATGTTTCCATATAAATTTTAGGATTATTTGTTCTAGTTCTGTGAAAAACGGCATTGGTATTTTGATAGTGATTGCACTGAATCTATATACTTCTTTAGGTAGTGTGCACATTTTCACTATATTAATTCTCCCTATCCATGAACATGGCATATGTTTCCATTTATTTGTAACTTCTTAATTTCCCTCTCCAATGTCTTATAATTTTCTGAGTACAGGCCTTTACTTCCTTAGTTAAATTTATTCCTAAGTATTTTATTTTGTTGATGCAATTGTAAATGGCACTGTTCTCTTAATTTCTCTTTCTCATAGTTTGTAATTGGTGTATAACAATGCAACCTATTTCTGAATATTAATTCTGTATCTTAATTTTGTAGCTACTTTACTAAATTCATTTGTCAGTTCTAATAGTTTTTTGTTGTTGTTCAATATGTTTTTATTGGTTATTTTCTTTTTTTCACTTTAACACACATTATCATAAAGTCCTTCTCTCCAACTCATGTTTCATCTATGTTCTCCTTGTCTTTCCTCTCTCAGAGTAAGAGGATAGAAATCAAAGCTAACAACAGCTCTTACTCACAGAATCTGGTTCTATTATTTCTCTTATTTTTTTCCCTGTAAACATATTTTTCTTTTTTCCTTTTCAAAACAAGCACAGAAACTTTTCTTTGAATCCCTGACCCTTTGAGGTAATGCTCTTATTTCTTACCCCTTTTATTTTACTACCAACCTTCTGCAGAAAACAGCCTCCACTTTTTTACTTCCTGACCCCTTGCACCTTGCATCTGCACATGACTACTCTTTTTAAACCTTATTCTTGACTTGCTCATTCCTAACTGGACTCTCTTAAGTCACCTTTTGTTTTTCTCCAAAACTCCTCTTTTGGCGGTTTGACCCAGTATTATCTTGATTCTACTCCTATTTCTTTTGACCTTCTCAGTTTCTGATTTCATTGTCACCTTTTTTTTTTTTAATTAGTTTTGGTTTCAGGTGTACAAAGCAATGCAATAGTTATACTTTTCACTTCTCACAGAGTGACAAGCCTTCTCCCCCAATCCACCACTCCCC